TATTTTAACAATCATTTAAAAAAAGTATAGTCAGTATTTATATTAGTTTTAAGTTTTAGATAGCCTTTAGTGTCGCACAGATTTATAGCTATTTTACATGATTAGTCAGTTTCTCAATGCTTTTTAATTAAATAGTAAGAATTAGCTAGAATATCTCACATTTATATCATGATAATTAGTTTTAGATATAATCACTATCTATGGGTGCTCTCACAATATCCCTGACCATCATGTTAGCTCATTAATCGTTCCGATGGACACATAAAAGTATATTTTTATAGGTAAATAAATTAATTTAACATAGTATAACGAATGGCTGTTAGTTATAAGCAGGTTATCTCATCAATGACATTTCATACTTAATAGATAATAATAGATAATTATTAATAAGTTTTAAAATACAGAATTTTTACAACTGTGTAAGGGTACAGTACATAATTATTTAAATATGTGATTATCGGTCCGACTAATGAGCTAAACATTTGGTTTTCATATATTTCCCATTTATTTTATAAGGGGTTTCTAAATACAATAAAATATACAAAAATTTTGAGATATATATTAACAGATGATTAATTCAAATGATTTCTATCCGTACGATATGTACAGGAGATCCGGTGTGTGGCAATGCCAGCCCCACAGGTGGATATCCCTTCTCTCGTGATTAGCGAATCGCCTGACTTTGACGAGAATAAGGAACGGGGCAATTGGTCCAACAGTCTGGAGTTCCTGTTATCATGTCTGTCCTATGCAGTAGGTCTGGGAAACGTGTGGCGATTCCCGTATCTGGTCTACAGGAATGGCGGAGGTATGTCTCGATCCTACCCCATCTGAATCATTAATAATGACAACAACTTACCATAAACTACAGGCGCTTTCTTCATTCCGTACACAATTATGCTTCTGTTCGTGGGTTTACCCCTATTTCTGTTGGAACTGGGGTTCGGTCAGTACGCCAGTGAAGGGCCCATCACTATATGGAAAGTGGCGCCAATGTTTCAGGGCTTGGGTTATGCCATGTTCCTGATGTCGGGCCTGGTGTCCATCTACTACAACATGATCCTGGCCTGGGGCCTATTCTACCTGCTCAGCTCATTCACTACATCCCTGCCGTGGAGGTCCTGCGAAAACTACTGGAACACCGATGGTATGACATCCCACTCCACTCCCACACAACAAACGCTCATTTAATGACAATTTAATTGTTAATCTCGTTGTCTATAGCGTGTCGTAGGTTTGACACCAAAAACTGTACTGGACACAACGGCACAATGTTGTTCAACGGGACGTGTATAACCAGGATGTGTTGGTTCAACACCAATGGCACGAATGTGATCGACCAGAACTGGAACCCCATATCACTGAACACAACCATTTTGGACGCCTCCTGTAGTATAGCTGACAGCGAGTGGAATATCCTGAAGCAACAGAACAGCAAAATGCCGAGCGATGAGTACTTCCAGTATGTGTCCATTTGATGATCAATTTGATGCTCATTTTGGTGGTTAACAACTGGAAATAATGTACGAATTTTGTTTGACAGCAACTTTGTGTTGGGTATAACGGAAGGCATACACGATTTGGGTGGTGTTAGGCTGGAGTTAGCCGGTTGTCTACTGGTCTGTTGGTTCATCGTATTTATATGTCTGGTCAGAGGTGTCAAAAGTATGGGTAAAGTAAGTATTGATCGCGATCTCAGTCATCAAAACACACTATTGTGTTGAATATGTTTAAATGGTTTTGTATTTCTAATGAATAGGTCGTATACTTTACGGCATTGTTTCCGTATTTCGTTTTGACAATTCTGCTCATAAGGGGTCTGACCCTTCCCGGCGCTGCTGAGGGTATCAGATATTATTTGACACCCGAATGGTATCGACTGAAAGAGGCACAAGTTTGGGTAAAAATAGTTCCCTTTTAGGCTACAGTTTCAATCCCTGGTAATACACAAAAACACCAATTATTTCAAAATTAAATAAAATATTTATAAAACACTTTATAAACAAATAAAATACATTAAACTCTCGATTAAATAAATTAAAAGAGAATATACATAAGTTATCTAATATAACAATATTCTCATTTCAATTCTGTACCCAAGAATATTCACTAAATAATACTGAATTTAGTGACACTCTATTATCCCAGAGTTTACTGTATTTTAGACCAACCCTTTAGATTTAGACAATAGATATCATAAATTATAATCATTTATCAATTGATGGCTAACTGTGTTGTATGTGTGGTGTGGGACAGGCGGACGCAGCCATGCAGATCTTCTTTTCGCTGTCACCCTGTTGGGGAGGGCTGATCACCCTGGCCAGTTACAATCGCTTCCACAACAACTTCTTTAGGGACACCATATTCATATCGGTGGGCAATTGTGGGACCAGTATTTTTGCCGGTTTTGTCATCTTTAGTATTATCGGATTCATGGCTCACGAGATGGGAGTTGGTGTCGATCAAGTGGCCGCTCAGGGTATGCGTCCACTACTCGGCCATAACTTATACCATATTAATCTCAAACCCCATTTGACACTATTAGGAGCGGGTCTGGCGTTTGTGGCCTATCCGGAGGCGGTGTCCCGACTGCCCATATCTCCCCTGTGGGCCATCCTATTCTTCTTCATGCTGTTAACCCTGGGTTTGGGCACTCAGTTCACACTCATCGAGACAGTGGTGACCACTATAGTGGACACGTGGCCCGAGAAGTTCAGACACCGGAAGCCGTTGGTGTTGGCGGCCACGTGTGGGTTCATGTATTTGGTTGGACTACTCATATGCACGAAGGCTGGCATGTATATCCTGCAGCTCATGGACAACCACTGCGCCAGGTACTACTCTGCCCACTAACTGTCATACTGTCAAACGTTATCTCCCTTTCCAACCATTAAAACTCACATTTGATTTGTTCGCACAGTTTCTCGGCTCTGATCATCGGTTTGGTTGAAGTGGTGGTCATCGGGTGGGTGTACGGCGTCGACCGGTTTTTGGAGGACATGAAAGTGATGTTAGGCCACTACCCCTTCCACCGGCTATACTGGCGCATACTCTGGAAGTTTGTCTGTCCCGGACTTATAATCGTATGGATATTCATAGCATCAGTGATGGAATAAAATTATTAACAAAATACATGTCTGTCCCCAAAATGTACAGTTCATTCTGATCTTCTCGTTCATTGACCTAAAACCGGCCACTTATGGCGATTATGTGTACCCGTGGTGGGCGTCTGTCATTGGGTGGATGTTGTCTCTCGTATCAGTGTCTGCCATACCATTCGTGGCCGTCTTGAAGATCACTAAAATGAGGGGACCTATCATTCATGTGAGACATCCATTTAATTACTAATATTTGCTTTTATTTCAAATATAATGCTATATTTGGAGGTCAGGTCTAAATGATATTGTATTGTATTATAGACAATATAGTCAACAATTTCTAACCTTATTTACACCCAGTGGGGAACAGTAGGCTTTTTAGACAATCTAGATTCAAGAATGTCTAGAATTTCGTAGCCATTCCCATATAATGCTAATGCATTCATACATTAATTCACAAACAACTATGAATTGAATTTAATGTATGTATTATTACTTATATTTATAGCGCATTAAAGTCCTGATGCGTCCCACGTCGGACTGGTATGTATCCATACTTCACACACATTAATATCAACATAAATCTAATCAATTCTTGCGATACCTGTCCGTTAGGGGCCCTAAACTGCAGTTACATCGCATGGAGACCCACAGTCCCAAACACACGGACAGTCAGGTGCCGCTCAGGTATGACGCGGACAACGACAGCAACGACTCGGACGACCTGAAAATGAACGGAAAGGATAACTACATACTGGCCGACGAGCCCAGCGATAGCGACACCGGTTTGCGGTTAAAACTGCCCCTATATCACAGCGAAACGGGACTTTAGTACACAATTTAGGGGAAATGGATGGTGTGGTTATCATAATTAGGTCTAAATTTAATCTCTTTTGTGATCGCGTAACCGCTTTTGGCGTGTTTTATATATAATTTATATACAGTTTTTAGTAATTATAATACGAGTGCAGAAATTCGTAGCGTTTTTCCGAAAAGCCTTTTATTTTAAGCCTTCATTTGATCCATCATTTCCTTTGCCGATAAGACATAAGACATCTCTCATTATATTATATAATATCTCAATCTCTGGATCACCAAAGAATTGACGGCCAAATCATTTATTCAAAGCAATTATATTAAACATGTATATACTGTACAATTTGGTCGCCCCGGTGTGTGTGTGTGACCCCACCACTGGCCGGTCCCACCATTTCATTCACTTATATGAGATCGAGTCATAAGTTTTTAAATCAAAATTCTTATGATTTTCACTCAATATTCAATTCATTTGACTCCGAGATCTGTGAACACACTAATCAATTGAAGAGATGATAGCGGGTGCGGACAGGGCTGCTGGTGATCGACCCGTTTGTGTCGTTTATATCACCATTTCTTTCATGTGTGAAGAACTTCCAAACCAACGAAAACACATCAAATAAAAACACATTTTTCATGTAATATATCCAAAAACATAACCACTTTTTGCTCGACAACGGATTTAAACGCCAATCTATATTCAGTTGTTAACACAAAAAACAATCTCTTTTTCTCTCTATTTTTAATTTTAAATGTAATATTTGTTTAATTAATTTAATTTAATGACCAAAATATATATATGATTATTATAATTATAAATATATTATATATAAGACAATAAGATTTTTATAGCTTTTTGAATGCATTTGAGAAAAGATTTTTAATAATGAAATTATGAAATGTATTAAAACTGATGAACAAGCTTGTTTTGTAAGATTATGAGAATGTTTAAAAACAAAACATGAATTTGTTATTAATATATTATACAAGTATATTATTGACACAACAAATTGTTACGAATATTGAGAAAATTGTTTGTGATTTCTATGTATGCAATCGGTTTTGAGTGTTATTTTCAGTAGTATTATATTAGTATTAGTAGTAATATTAGTTATATTAGTAGTATTATTAGGATTACGATTGAGGGGCAGCTCTTCCTAATCAGTGTATAGTTATCGAGAAAACCATACAAAACACGAAACAAAAAATTTAATTAAAAACCATTTGACAGTATTTGAGGCATAACTATCTGTACACAACTGTAGTGATTGATTAAGTGGTCCACAATCTACTGGTGCCTCTTAGCTCTATATTATCATATTAAACACCACTTGAATTACAATTATAATTACTATTATGAATAATATACGAAAGTCAGTCATGTGTTCAGTTTAGTCTCTCCCCCTCCCCCTCCTAAATTGCTTTTAAAAATATATTTGATTTTTAATTTCAAATATATTGAGGCATAACCAAAATGCAGTCAAAAATATAAATTCAAAAGAATTCATATTTCCCTTCAATAAGACAACAATAGGTTGTCTTCAATTGATTCCTAAATTTCAAAACAAAATTTAGTTTTTCTCATAAATTATTTGTGAAAATAGTTGAACAAAAGTTTAAAATATTCAGTCAAAAGTCAGTTTTCTCAATAAAAACTCATTGCATTCATGTAATGGGAGTTCAATATTCTCTGTGTTATTAACTAAAAACAGCATTTTTTCGGCCAATTTCTCAACCAATTAATTATACATTTATTATATACAATACTATGTATTCTCATGTCATTATGAAATGTGTTGCCTTTGAATACAATTCTTTCGATAAGGATTTACACATAATATTTGTTTCTAAACAAAAAACCAATACATAAATGATTTCTTATTTTTCGGACAAACTTTTAAACAAAATGTTTAATCGTTAGCACCACTAAAATGATAGTATTGTAGAGCATTAGACCCCATATGAAAACCCTTTCCAAATAACTGATCAAAATTACAATTGATTCAAAACTTGCAGTAGATTTGAGACGACTTTCAATTCAACTCTCAATCCGTTTGTATCGACACAAAAAAACTTCATTTTCTATTATGATATACAGTATAACATTGTATTAATAGTGAGATTTACTGTCAAACATGATATATATTAGTCCATACCTTAAAACACAATACAATTCCTGTCACTAACTTCTAGTGAACAAACATTTTTAGGTCAAAATGTATCAAAAGACCGGAAAGTTATAAAAAAGTAGCCCTTCTTGTAGTGACAACCCATCGAAGGGCCAGTTATTGATAATACTGTGACTCAATAAATGATTTCTTAAGACTCCCTCTTAAGACTTTCCGTCAAACCTATAAAAAGTAACGAAAAAAGTTTTTGTAGTGAAAGTGCCATCAGTTTTGTTGTTACGAATGACACCGAGGGCTCAGTTTAGCACTGTTTTCGGGTTACGACTTGTTATGGGAAACGCATCGAAAGTATCAGAAAAGTTGTGTTTTTGTTAAATTGCTCAGAGATATGATATGTAATAAAAATATATAAATAATTAATTTAAATACAATAAAACAATACGATTATTGTTGTGCCTCAACACACATTGCAAAACACATTCACACATTTCAGACACACAAACCTACCTTTCCTTCCACTCGTTTAGGGTTTAGTATCCAATTTATGACTCCTTTCCCTCTTATTTTGTTGTATGATTTTGCAGGAAATTTTCACAATAAAACCAAACAATAAACAAAATGCCATTGATTTTCAAACATACCATTACTCTATGAAATGTATTTCTTATTTTCACGATAATTATTATCAATTTTATTCAATTTTCTCGAGTCATCCGGGCTTTTGATTCCATACGAAACACATATACATTGAAATATATATTTCTGATATATTACTATTTGATTTTGAGTTTTCTAATTAAAATCATTAAATGTAATATTTAGTCGTATTAATAATGTCATTGCTGTCAACAATTTTGTTTAATACGATTGTATATTAAAAAATCTATTGAAGTAAATACTATAAATCTAAATTGTTTTCCAATACATGACTCCTAATGTTCAAAACACATCAAACATAAACTTATTGTAAAAACATTTGTTTCAAAATATTGTTTATATAAAAGAGATTTTTTTCCAAATAATTTAATATTCCCACAAATAATCTATTATATAAAAGTTGTGACACAAAAATACAGAAATTCAAAATTATTAAGTAAACTAAAACTAGAAGCAACTTTCAAAAATAGTAATCAGTTATTAGAAATATAATGGAAAGTATTATTAAAAGCAAAAACAGTAACCTTTAATAATTTAATTTAATTTAAATTAATTTTCCCTTTGATTGACAAAAATTGTTTTGGAAAAATCTCTTTGATATGTATTTGTGTGTAAAGTATGTGAATCTGAATCGGAAGTTTGATTTGACACATACCAGTGCTTATGTTTTGTTTTAAATTTGTTTTACGTTATGACTGATTCATAGCAATGAATACTAATTACACGCAAATGAGTATTTATTTTGCTTACATTTAGACAACAAAAACCTTTTTTCATAACTATTACTATAAGTCTTATTATTTTGTTATTCAATAATTTTTTGTAAAAGCATTGAAGCAAACAATACAAAAGACAATAATTATTTTTACACAAAAAACTTTGTAGTAATCATTATTATGATTACACTTTTTATGTAATGGTTTTTAATACAAAAATTGATTCCTTTATTAAGTATTATAAAATGAAAGGCATTGAAAACCAAACCTATTTATAACCAGACATTTGGCACTCAATAGTTGCTTAAAAGTGATTGAAAAACCAATTAATTAAGAATTTAAAGAATTTTCAATTTATGTTTTAAATTTGAAATAATTTCCAAAGTTTCCGGTTTACTATCAATTAGTTTTGGCAAAACACACTGTAATTTAATTTCTACGTATTTTTATGTATTGTTTTTTATTTTGACTAATTTTCAGATAAACGAAAGTAAAATATTTGTTAATGTTTTTTATTTGTTTTTAATCTAAACAAACCGATAATTATAATCATAATACAGAATATAATATGTTTTCAATAAAATCACTTCAATTAAGAGTAAAACAAAGAAATGTATGAAAAATTTTAAAAACAGAATTCATAACAAAATAATATTGAAATTTAAATGTGAAAACAATAAAATAAACATTAAATGAATGAAAATCAATTAAAGTCTGTTTGACCCGAAAATAAACGTCTAATTTATTAATTAATTTTATATATTAAATAATAATTATAAAACATTAAAAATTAATTAATTGCTTAATACTAGGGTGTAGTGGGACAGGGATTTAGTTGAACCTATTTTGCTATTTTTATGTGTCATTTCTTATAAATTATTTTCTAAACAATAAAAGTTAAACCGATTTGTTTGAATGCATTGATTGGAAATGTTTTTATATTCCTATGAAAAACACTATAAAATAATGACATTATTTTTATTTAATTAATTTTTTTTAATCTGATAGAAGTTGTGTTCAAAATATTTTTCTGATCTAACAATTGTGTGCAAATAAAACAAATAAATACAGCATTAGATAATATTTTTTGAAATTATCAAATCAAGTAATGACTTTCAGTTTTATTCGCCACAGATTGAGATAACTGTCCAAAACCATAGTTACCTTCAAATTAATCACAAGACACATGTGGTTCACAATGAATACAAACACATTGTTTCGGTATTTTTTAATGAATAAATAGATTCATATAATATTTTATTTTAAAAAACATTTAACAAATCGTTTATCATATGAGACACCAAATACTAAATATAATAATTTTTTAATAACAACGAGTAGAACATATGATTAATCGATAATTTTGGCAATTTATTAAATTAAAATTATAACTTTTAAGCAGAATATTTTAAGTTTATATAAATATATTTTATAATAATATATAAATCTAATAACCAGTGATTTAGGCACAGAATTGTAATATTTTGTATCATAGGGTTGTAAATAAATATAAATACAAGAATTGCTTTTATATAATAATAGCTTTTATTTTGTAATCAAATAATAAAATGAGAATTTCTGAGATAAACATTTTGTTAATCAATAGTTTTGTTATACATATCGATAGGAGAGACAGAGATAGAGATTGGAATTGAATTATGAAAAGTCGGGACAAATGTAATATATTTTTTTATATGTATTAATAATATATATTTTGTTTAAAATAAATTGGTTACTTATAATAAAAATTGGTTTCAATATAATATGTCTTAAAATTCATTTTAAAATATTTAAAAATTCCTATAAATTCCTAATTTAGTCACTCATGAGGTATTGAATAGCAGTTAAGACTAACATCTCTAACGATCGGCTTATTATCGACACTATTGTGGCCGACAATCATCTGAGTCTTCATCGGGGGCTCAGTCTTGAGGGTAACGGCGCTCGCGTCCATCCCGTTGGTCAACATCTTAGGGCGAGGGGCGGGCTGTTGGCCGGTCTGCTGGTTGTGTTGATTCTTGCGGTTAAATGCTAGTGAGTCGGGCCTGAACTCCGGGTGCCGTTTGGCGTGTTTGGTCAGGTGGTCGGACCGCATGAATCGCTTGTCACAGAAGGGACAGACGAAGTTCTTCTCGCCCGTGTGGGTCCGGTAGTGTCGGGCCAACTCGTCCGACCGGGCGAACCGTTTGCCGCATGAATGCCAGGTGCAGGCGAATGGACGCTCACCTAATATAGCACCGGGAGATAAAACAATTAGACAGTTAGTCTTGTGTAACAAAACGTGTATATTTTTATTGTTATGTTTTGAAAGGTCGTCCGAGTCGTTGCTGTCGTTGTCCGCGTCATACCTGAGCGGCACCTGACTGTCCGTGTGTTTGGGACTGTGGGTCTCCATGCGATGTAACTGCAGTTTAGGGCCCCTAACGGACAGGTATCACAAGAATTGATTAGATTTATGTTGATATTAATGTATGTGAAGTATGGATACATACCAGTCCGACGTGGGACGCATCAGGACTTTAATGCGCTATAAATATAAGTAATAATACATACATTAAATTCAATTCATAGTTATTTATGTTAATTAATGTATAAATACATTAGCACTATATGGGAATGGCTACGAAATTCTATGCATTCTTGAATCTAGATTGTCTAAAAAGCCTACTGTTCCCCACTGGGCGTAAATAAGGTTAGAAATTGTTGACTATATTGTCTAAACTACAATATCATTTAGACCTGACCTCCAAATATAGCATTATATTTGAAATGAAAGCAAATATTAGTAATTGAATGGATGTCTCACATGAATGATAGGTCCCCTCATTTTAGTGATCTTCAAGACGGCCACGAATGGTATGGCAGCTACTGATACGAGAGACAACATCCACCCAATGACAGACGCCCACCACGGGTACACATAATCGCCATAAGTGGCCGGTTTTAGGTCAATGAGCGAGAAGATCAGAATGAACTGTACATTTCGGGGACAGACATGTATTTTGTTAATAATTTGATGCCATCACTGATGCTATGAATATTCATACGATAATAAGTAAGGGACAGATAAACTTCCAGAGTATGCGCCAGTATAGCCGGTGGAAGGGGTAGTGGCCTAACATCACTTTCATGTCCTCCAAAAACCGGTCGACGCCGTACACCCACCCGATGACCACCACTTCAACCAAACCGATG